ACAGCGCGAAGAAATATGTAAATAAGAACTTTTATTTATATATATTATATAGGCACATATCAGAACATATAAGTATACATTAGCCAATCAGACGTCCAGTGAAAGTTAAACTTTGTTTGTGTAGTTTAAATAAGTTATGTTTATATTTCTTCCATTACAAGGAAAACACAATGACCAAGATTGACATTTATTAATGTTATATAGCTACAATTATTTATGTGTTTTTTTTTTTTACAGTAATGACCAAGATTGACATTATTAATGTTATATAGCTACAAAATTATTTAAGTACTTTGTTTTTACAGTAAATGGATCTCTTCATTTGGCTGCAGGGTTGTTACCAGGTATGCATGCTATCACTCCTGAGCTCCTTTTTTTTTTTATTTCCAAATGTTTTGTTCTTTACGTGCAATTTAGCATGTCAGTCTAATCATGACTTGAGAGCATTGAAGAAGTATTAAAATGCTTGAAGTGTAACTGTGGTGGTCATGGTATATTATATAAATTTATTCGTATATATTATATTAAAATGGACTTCTGTCCATGTTTTATGTTGGCATTACTATGCACTACACTCACCAGTAGTGAGGTAGGTTCTATATTGTAATGTCCCTCCATGCCTTTGAAATAGTTTAGGGATAAATTTTTTTTTTTTTAAACTACTATGGTTTGAATTAATTTTGTTTTTTTTTTAATCTACTTTGGTTAGATACAGACATTTGTCTGTTATACTTCAGTTTGATACATGCGTCACACAACCACTGACTTGCAAGTTCTGAGAAAGTGATTTCAGCACTCTGTGGTCTCCCCTAATGATCCTGTTGAATCCTCTTCATTAGTGGCTGGTCGTTGTCTGGCGAAGCTGATGGTTGTGCCGTCCTGTCATGGATATTTCTAATAAAGATTGCTCTAGAAGACATGCATGCTTTCGATATGATTGTGTGGCTGTATGTTTACTCCCTGCTTTCAATGAGTTTCAATTAATAGTGAATGTTAGAGGTTTTGCAAAGAAATGCTGAGAAGGCTCTAAATTCTCAAATTGCTAGTTTCATGTAATTGCAAAGAAGCAACACATTAATTTAAACTTGAGATTTTGAAGGAGATGGTGCAAAGAAACCACAAGCAACACAATTTAAACTTGAAATTTTGAAGGTGATGGACTAAAAGTTGTGGTGTTTTTATTTTTTTTAAATTCAGTCATTTCTATTGTGTTTTGTATGTCAGCAGAACCAGCAAAGCCAGGTGTGTGTCCTAGAAAAAATCTTGAAGCAGCAGTGTCAGGAGTGTGTGTAGGGTTGTGTTCCCATGACCATGACTGCCCAAACAATCAGAAATGCTGCCGCAGTGGCTGTGGACGTCAGTGTATGGCTCCATATAAAGGTATTTGTTATATTAGTTTGGATATATATAAATATATAATATTATTATTATTTTTTAAATGCAGTGAGGCATTCAGTGATCTGGTTTCTGTGTCATGTTTGTGTAACAGAAAAGCCAGGATCGTGTCCAAAAAACCTTGGAG